GGCACCATCCGAGAGCTGCCTCAAGCCGCCGCTAACTAGTGCTACAGGGTCGAGGTCTGCCCGCCGCCACTAACAACCGTGGAGGCGAGAAACGCTGCCGGATATCTGATCCACACTGACTAGATGGAGATCCGCTGCACTCGTCCGATCTATTTTTAAAACATTCAGATGCAACAATTGCAACATACAAAAGAAGACAGATGAAACACTTGAAACATATTTTTGAAATACTTTAAAAACACCTAAAAACACTTGAAAACAATTGAAAACATAGGCAATATCCAAATAAAACAATTGCAACATATGTGTGAACATATGCAACATCCAGATAACACTTGCAACAATACGTCCGAAAACACATATGAAACATTGGGAACAGACATTAGCAATATACGTGTACAACCATTGCAACATATGCAACATCCCGATCTACTTTTGCAACAAACATTTAAAACACTTGCAACATACGTCTGAAACATCTGAAACACTTGAGACATATGCTTGCAACATGCATTTTCAGCATATCGCAACATTTCCTTGTTGCTTGGGAGAATGGAGGCTAGTCGGCGTATGGAGTTTGCCAGAGTCAGTTGTCCGGCGACCCTTGTAGGCAGCGACTCGTGGCGCTTGTAGGCGACTGGCTGGCGACAGTGGCATCGCGACGCGGCAGGGAGGCAGCGGCCGCGCACCGCGCCTGGCAGGGCCTGCTTTTCATTGAGATGATAGGAAATTGTCAAAGTTACACAATGTCGATAAGTGCCGGCTGTTCCACTCCCGTTGGCAAGATGCTAGCGTTTGGGATGAACCAAGATGGCGACAAGGTATGCCTAGCAGCTACAACATATACAAAGGACTACACTGCAATAGAATTGGTGACCGTGGGTACAAGACAGCTTTTAGACCGCTTGGCCTATTCGATGTCCGTCACTGGACCACGACACCAATGTCTCCCAGGAATGAGTACCCGCATGGCTTCCCACCTCATAGGGGATAGCGGCACAACGAAAGTTTGTTGAAATTCTTCGAAAGACGCCTCATCGAGTTTCACCGTCTCGACCCGAAGCCCGAGCTTTTTCATGAGCACCTTTCTTGCCTGGGCCTCCGACTTCTGTGCTCTGAACTTGTTTTTTGCAGCAAAACGGGTGTTGCGCTTGGGACGATATCGTCATCATGAGCAGCATTGGGATCCTTGGTGATGTGCAGCCTAGGCGGGGACGCAATCAACGGCTGCTGAAGCGGAACCTTGACGGCCTCGAAGAAACATTGCACAACGCTGAAGCTCGGGGAGGACACTGTGCCATAATCCCTAGAAGGATCCGAAGCTAGCCCATCGAACTGATTGTGGCTGCTGAAGCGGAAGCTTGTTTGGAGACGTTTGTTAGATGATTATTCGAATATCCTAAGTAGGATTAGAGTGGAAAACCATTCAACTTTTTTATAGAGGGAGCATTTGACAACTAAACGGAAGGGGCATCGGAATTAGTGGTGAAAGTTGATAGAGTTAAGGTGGAAAATTGTCTTTTAGTTCCAATCCCTTGTTTGATTCGTGGAGGAAAATAAGAGAGGGAGTTGAAGAGGGAATTTATATCCCTAGTTTGGTGTGGGGGTTTGTGGGGGAAATTACATAGCAAATCATGATGAATGTATTTTTCTTTTATTAAGAGCATAATTTCCTCCCAATTACCACCCTCCCCGGAGAATTGATTAGTGGGAGTTGGCCATCTAAATTCACATTCCTCTTCCCATCAAAACTCTCGCTCCCACAAAATAAACAAAATATTTCTAAGATCTTATCTCCAAACTCCTATTCCCTACTTTCAATTACCCCAACTAAACTGAGCCAAGAGTGAAAACGACTGTTGGAAAGAGATCGCAAGGACGGTTGGAAAGAGACAGTTTGGTGCAGCCTAGTGTTATCAACTTGGACATGTACTGTACTCCGGCTGATCTATCTCGAAATAAATTCACACTTCTGGCTATGTGGCCAGAGAATTGTCTAGATACATATATAGCTAGAAATTAATTAATTTAATTTGTTTCGGGACAGAGGGAGCAAGTGAGATATTGTTGTCAACTTTGCCTATGGCTGGCTAGCCGGCAGTGCGTCCTTGATTGTCATGTCATAACGAGAGTGTGTCGTACTAATGGCATTTCTCTTTCAATAATTGTGGTACTTAAAAGGAACTGTTCAGTGTAATGCGATCTGAGCTTAATTTAGGCAGGACGTAACGATCAATTGTAAGTCGTTACGACTTACGACGTTGATCGTTACGACTTACGACGTACTTGTGCAGTGTCCTGTTAACGACGGCGTGCACGCAGCCTTTAAGACACACCAAGAAGAACAAGAGTGAAAACGACGGTTGAAAAAAGATATGGAAACCGACGACACGCATGCAGGAGCACCGTGCGCATGGATCCTACCGGAGAATACGAGTATGAGGAAAGATGCTAATAGGAGATCGTTTTGTGCTGTCATCCCTGACGATGCAGCTTGGCGTTACCTTGTCCAATGACGTAGGGGCCGCCGGCCGCCGGCCCGCCTGCAGTCCTTGCAGCATTTCGGTTGGCCACATCCCTCGATCAGGAATCTGCCGAAAGCATTTCGGTTGAGGTCATGAGTGTTTATGTTTACAGTAAATATAAAAATAGTTATGTTCTATTGAGTTTGCTAAAATGTATCCGGATACGGTAACGCTCCAGGACGTCGGTCCGTTCGCACGGGACGGATCTGCCTCGCGCCGTGCGCCTCTGCACCTTGCGCCTCGCACGGTCGCACTGAACCCGCCTCGAGCCATGTGCGCCCAGGGGCGAAGCCAGGATAAAATGCCACCGGGGTCGGTTCAAACACATAATACTTACTTTTAGCTTATGACAGTGGACTATAATACTTACTTTTAGCCTATTTACACAACGTTTAAACGCTACACGGGGCAAGTGTCACATATTTTTCTTAGAAAAATATTTTTTATTTTGATCTCTCCATAATTTATACTCATTACCATTGATTATTTTGGTTTTAGACTTCTAGACTCCGGCTCATTAAAACATTCTCTCAAAAGACAAACATGAAAAAGAGAGAACAAAATATGATGTAAGGCTATTCGGTGTTTACTTCTGCTATATAAATGACGAGAAGAAAAAGATAATCATATCCTTATTCATCAATCGGTGATTAAGGAACTCTAAGAAATATGATGTACTTCTGTAATACAAGCAACAAATAGGGATTGATGAACTCTAAAAAACGAAAAAAATCAGATCCTTATTTGCCAACTGCAGTTGCTAAATTGGGGATTTGGGCCTTGGGGGTTACCTCATCTAGGTGTTTTGGTAGAGAAGACGAGAGTCTCCTTGCAGTCACCGCTAGCCGCCAGGACGATGAGCCATGCGCCGCTCGACGACGGGAGGCGAGAAGCCGAGAACGTCGACGCAGAATAGACTCGGACCGATGGAGGGGACTAGTCAGGGAGAGAAATCGCCGATCGTGCAAAGGCCAAGCGTCTGGGGCTCCAGCTGTGCTAGTGCTGCATGCCCACGAACTGGGCTTGCCGCTTGCCTTGGCCCTTGCGTCTTGTGTAGTGCGTTGCAAGGCTGGCCGGCTGGAACCTGCTGCGTTGGGCTGCTGGGTGCGCTTGTCGCGTGGCTGTGCTCTGCAGGGATCGGGGTCAAACTATTTTTTAGCCGTGGTCTTGGCTGGCCAAAATTCGTACGGCACGTGAAGTGGATGCTAAGTCCTCAGGGTCGAGGGTGTTGGGAAACAATAACCATAGGATAATTATGGGTTCATATCAAATATACCTTTGAAGGGTTAAGACTATATAAAAAAACCTGTTTCCATCTATAATGAAGAAGAGATAAGAGTTCCACGATATTTGCTCTCTTGTGTTCATCTGGTGTGTTGCTGAAAAGGATACAGGAAATCACCTACAACTTCCTCACGTCTCATCTGCTGCGGGGAGGGAAGAGAACCGGATCAGGAATCCGCAACACCGCTGTTATTAACACGTTATCAGCACGCTCTACTGCTACTCATCAACGACGGTATGCTGTTCTTGATCCTGTTGGATCCATCCGCTCACAGATTCGTTCAATCTAGATCGGTTTCATGTATACAACTAGCATGCTAGATACGTAGCAGATCGTTTTTCTCTGGCTAGTTGTTCTAGATTGATCTTTACCATTTATCTCACGTAATTCCCCTTGCCGCTGCTCTGATGGCAGCGGTCACCATGTGAGCACTAGTATGCTAGATTAATAGATTTGTTTTTACTAGCTACTAGATTAGTTGATTATGACATCTCGAACAACACAATCTTGTAGATTTGTTCGGCTAGCAGCCTAGACGCGTTCTAGATTTTTTTAAGTATAACAGATCCAATCTTTGGATACTAGTTTTTTTTTAAAAACCCAGTAGATTGGGTTTTATTTATTGCTAGTTTGTGTAATAGATTGATCTTGTTTTTACCGATAATATCTTTTTATCTTCGGTCTACCACCGCCACCCCATCATGCTGCGCATGTACGCTGGTGTGTACTACTACGCCATCCATGGACATTGGCCATGCCATGCATGCACGCTAGTTTATTTCCATTGTTTTCATGTTGCACCGCCGGCCAACCCAACGCGTTTGACGCGTAAGCCAGCAAACTTCCACCCGTTGTGCTGCCTGAACTTGCGCATTACTTATGCATGCATCGTGGCCCCACTGGCTACTGAAACTTGCGACACCATCATGGCCCTGATGGCTATCTTGCGATGTCGGCGGCTGCAGACCACCGCTGTATGCCTTGCGTGTATATTTTTTGTCACTTTTCTTTTGCGTTGATAATAATTCATTCATGGCGATACATACTACTTCATGCTTATTTACCGGAAGTTAATTTGCATGAATTAATAGGCAATGGCTTCGATCAACAAGACAAAGTTCACGGTTCTTGAGCTGAACGACAAGAACTATCAAACCTGGGCACTCGACTGTGAGTTCCATCTGTAGGCGATGCAGCTGACTCCCACGATCGCCAGGCCTGCAGCTGGTGTTCCTGCTCCGCCACCCCATGACAAGGCAAAAACTTGCATCTTCCCGATGCATCATATTCATCTTGACCTGAAGACGGAGTACCTGGAGGTGAAAGACCCTCTGGTACTGTGGGTGAAGCTTCAACTGTGGGTGAAGCTTCAGGAACGCTTTGGCAAGCAGAAGGCAGTGCTTCTCCCACAGGCCAGGCGTGATTGGGCACAACTCCGCTTCCTCGACTTCAAGACAGATGAGGCATATAATACTGCGATTCACCGTATCGTGGCTCAGCTTCGCTTTTGTGACCAGATCATGACTGAACTCGAGGTGATTGAGAAAACCTCGAGACTTTCCACCCCACAACATGGTACTCTAGCAGCAGTACCATAACAACAAGTACATGAAGTACTGTGATCTCATCAATGTGTTGCTTGCCGCTGAGGCTCAGAATGAACTCTTGATGAAGAACTTCCACATGCGCCTTGCTGGGACACAGGCACATCCTGAAGCACATGCCAGTTACCACAAAAGCAATGGTAAAGGTTCTTTCAGAAACAAGGGCCAAAAGTTTCATGGTCACTAGGGGCAAAAAGGGGGAAAGTTTAAGAACAGAGGCCAGAAGTCCAATGGCAATGGCAAAGGCCAGAAGTTCAATGGCAATGGCAAAGGTAAGTTGAAAGCTCTAGTTTGGTTTTGGTAAATTGATGAAACCCTAAGTGATAACCTAGTTTATCAAGTGATTATGAGATAGGTAGCACACTCCAAGTGGTGAAGCAAATGAAGATCATGACATGATGATGGTGATGCCATGATGATGATCGAGTGCTTGGACTTGAAAAGAAGAAAGAGAAAAACAAAAGGCTCAAGGCAAAGGTATAAATGATATGAGCCATTTTGTTTTGGTGATCGAAACACTTAGTGAGTGTGATCACATTTAGGATTGATAGCCGTACTATTAAGATGGGTGAAATTCGTATCAAAATGCGGTTATCAAAGTGCCACTAGATGCTTTAACTCATTGCATATGCATTTAGCTTGGGTAGCCAAAGAGCTTCTATCTACAAAGAGGAATTAGGCTATACCCCTAAGAAAGGCAAGGTAACTTTTGTTCCTCACAAGACTAGTTTTGTGAAGAACAATGGTCGGTTTTGCATTAGTTGCAAGCAAGTTGGTCATAAAAAGCATGAATGCAAAAATAAGAGCAAAAACGCTAATATATCCTCTATGTTAAGCTTGATTCTTTTTATATGCTTACAAAGGGTGCAAATTGTGTAAAGGCTAAGTTCATTGGTAAACCATGGATGGGCTCAAAGAAGAAAGCCATTTGGGTACTAAAGAGCTTAGTGACTAACCTTCAAGGACCCAAGCAAGTTTGGGTACCTAAAAAAATTGATCTTCTTTTGTAGGTCAATTACAAAGCCGAAGGAAGGCATTGGGTTCTTGATAGTGGGTGTACTCAACACATGACCGGTGATGCAAGAATGTTCAACTCAATCAACACCAATGGCAATGATGGTTATGATAGTATCACATTTGGTGACAATGGCAAAGGCAAGGTCAAAGGGCTTAGTAAGATTGCAATATCCAATGTATTGCTAGTGGAGATCTTGAACTTCAATTTGCTATCCGTGGCTCAATTGTGTGATCTTGGATTCAAATGCATATTTGGGGTAGATGATGTAGAGATCATAAGTGTAGATGGCTCTAACTTGATCTTCAAAGGCTTTAGATATGAGAATCTATACTTGGTTGATTTCAATGCTAGTGAAGCTAAATTATCTACATGCTTGTTCACTAAGTCTAGCATGGGTTGGTTATGGCATAGAAGGCTTGATCATGTTGGAATGAAACAATTAAATAGATTGGTTAAGCATGACTTGGTTAGAGGCTTGAAAGATGTTGTGTTTGAAAAGGATAAGCTTTGTAGAATTTTTATTAGGCTATTCACCCCCCTCTAGCCATTAGGACCTTTCACAAGTCCCTGAAGGGCACAAAGGACGAGGCAAGTGGAGGGAAACACTCAAATGAGGGTTGTTTCCACTGTGGATCCCACCAGCATTGGTCCCATACTTGCACTACCGACCTACACTTGATTGAGCTATATCAAGAGTGGAAGAAGCGCCAAAACCCGGAGGTACACTTCGTCCAGGCATCTGTCGATGCCGTGACTGGACTACACCTCCCGAAGCCATCAGAGCCTACCTAGAAGCTTGAATCCGCAGCTATGGATGTTGATCATAATGCCATCGGCGATCATACTGCTGAAAAGGGAGATTCATATACTGGTGATGATGATTTTGACCTCGACAACGAGGATCTCCTTGACGAGGAGTAGACCAAGTTATCAACCATTTATTTATTTGTTAGCCAGTGTGATTTATTTTCAACAAAACAATTAAAGTCCCATGTGATGTAATAATACTCCCGTTGAGCAACTTCATTATTCTGTTAGGATAAACTCTCGGCATGAATGGTTTGGTTTATAGCATTATTTTAATCAATTTATAGTGCTCCCATTGAGCAACTTTATTATTTTTGTTAGCATTAACTCTCGACATGAATGTCTTGGTGCATAGCATTATTTTAATCAGTTTATCCCTTGTTCAGTTACGTGCTATCTTTTAATCGGCTTGTTATATTGATTATACATGACAGATTAAATTAGTACTATATTTAATAGAACAAGAGTCATACTTTCCATGGAGTTTGAAGAAGAATTTTGCCTGGTTGATAGCACTGCCACAAATACAATACTTCGAGAGACAAAATATTTTCAGACACTGAAGAAAAAGACTAAAAATATTACCACGATTGTTGGTCGCAACGGCCAATTTGTAGGCTGCGGTCGAGCCGTGGTCGTACTCCCTAATAATACCAGCATCTTCATAGAAGAAGCATTTTTGTACCTGGGAGCTTTACGTACTCTCCTCACATTCAAAGATATACACCGTAGTGGCTACCACGTTACAACTGCTTGTGAAAATGGTGCTGAATACCTCTATATCACGACAATAGACGAATATGGGACAAAAGTGGTAGAAAAAACACTAGGCACCTCCTCTGGAATTTACTACACAAAAATTAAGCCACCTCAAGAATACGTTGCGATGTCTACTATATTTAAAAATCCTGAGTCTTTTATGATCTGGCATGAAAGACTTGAACACCCTAGATTAAGGATGATGCGGAACATCATAAAAGGATCTGCTGGTCATGGCATTAAAACCACACAAATTCCTAAATACTTTCTATGCGCGTCTTGTGCTAAATGAAAATTAATAACTAAACCCTCTTACCTGAAGTTAAATGTCGAGTCCCTAGGTTTTCTGGAGAGAATCCAAGGTGATATTTGTGGTCCTATTCACCCCCTGTTGGGGCCTTTTAGATACTTTATGGTGCTTATAGATGCTTCTACTCAATGGAGCCACGCATGCCTGTTGTCTACGTGGAACCATGCTTTTGTAAAACTTATTGCCCAAATCATTCGATTGCGTGCTAGCTTCGCGGAGAACCTCATACAAGCAATCAGAATGGATAATGCTGGAGAGTTCACCTCAAAAGCATTTAATGATTATTGTCTTGCTTTGGGCATAAATGTAGAGCATTATGTGCCCCATTTGCACACACAAAATGGGCTTGCTAAATGTTTAATAAAAAGAATAAAATTAATTGTCAGACCGCTTCTACAAGATAGCAGACTTCCAACCAGTTGTTGGGGACATGCAGTGCTGCACACTGCTGCCTTAGTCCAGTATAGGCCATCTGCATCTCACTCTGCTTCCCCCCACTTGTTAGCGCGTGGATGAAAGGTCCTAATATGGCTAGAGGGGGGGTGAATAGCCTATTTAAAAATCTACAAATCAACTAGAGCAATTTGATTAGTATGACAAATAGCGAAATGCAAACTTGCTCTAGCTCTACAAGGGTTGCAAGCCACCTATCCAACAATTCTAGTTGCAATGATTACTAGGCACACAACTTGCAATGTTACTACTCACTAAGAGCTCTCAATCTTGCTACTCTAAAGAGCTCCACTAGATGAACTTAAAATAACAAAGCAAGCTCTCAATTCTAATTACACTAAAGAGCTTGCCATAACTAGTTTGCAAGAATATAAATGAGTGAGTAGAGTGATTATACCACCGTGTAGAGGAGTGAACCAATCACAAGGTGAATATTAAATCTATCACCGGGAGAATACCAAATAGCAAGAGAACCAATTTTCTCCCGAGGTTCACGTGCTTGCCAACACGCTACGTCCCCGTTGTGTCGACCAACACTTGGTGGTTCGGCGGCTAAGAGGTGTTGCACAAACCTCATCCACACAATTTGGACACCGCAAGAAGCTACCCACAAGTGAGGTAACTTAATGACACGAGCAATCCACTAGAGTTACCTTTTGGCGCTTCGCCGGGGAAGGTACAAATCCCCTCACAATCACCGGAGATGGCCACGAACAATCACCGACTCGTGCCAATCCTCCTCCGCTGCACCAAGCCGTCTAGGTGGTGGCAACCACCAAGAGCAACAAGTGAATCCCACAGCAAAACACGAACACCAAGTGCCTCTAGATGCAATCACTCAAGCAATGCACTTGGATTCTCTCCCAATCTTACAATGATGATGAAACAATGATGGAGATGAGTGGGAGGGCTTTGGTTAAGCTCACAAGGTTGCTATGTCAATACAAATGGCCAAGAGAGTGAGCTTGAGCCGTCCATGGGGCTTAAATAGAAGTCCCCATGAAATAGAGCCGTTGTACCCTTCACTGGGCACAACACGGGGTGACCGGACGATCCGGTCAGTTTGACCAGACGCAGGACCCCAGCGTCCGGTCGCCCGATGCTTGCCACGTGTCATCGGCTTCAAACGCCGATCGCCCGATCTCAACGGTCAAGTGATGTCTGGACGCGCTGCTGCGAAGTGACCGGAACGCTGGACCTCAGCGTCCGGTCGTTTCCAGTAAGCATCCAGAAGCAAGAAATAACGACCGTACGCGTCCGGTCATGCTCGATCGGACACACCCAGCGTCCGGTCACACACCGTCATCATACGTCAGACTGACCGGACTCAGGCCCTGAGCGCCCGGTCAGTTTTCACGCCAGCGTCTGGTCACAAGACCAAGACCGTGTGCTTACTGATGTTACTGACCAGACTCTAAACCCAGCGTCCGATCGCTGCACCACCAGCGTCCGGTCACTCTGTGAACCCCTATCTTTTCTGTATAGGGCGCTGGTGGCACCGCCGGTGAAGTTTCTAACCCTTGCTCAAATGTGCCAACCACCAAGTGTATCACCTTGTGCACATGTGTTAGCATATTTTCACAAGCATTGTCAAGGGTGTTAGCACTCCACTAGATCCTAAATGCATATGCAATGAGTTAGAGCTTCTAGTGGCACTTTGATAACTGCATTTCGATACGAGTTTCACCCCTCTTAATAGTACGACTATCGATCATAAATGTGATCACACTTACTAAGTGTATCACTAAAACAAAAATGACTCCTACTATTTATACCTTAGCATTGTGCCTTTTGTTTTTCTCTTTCTTCTTTTTCCAAGTTCAAGCATTTGATCATAATC